TTACGATCCGACCACCGCGTTAAAGGAGTTCTCGAACAATTCCATTGATGCTGGCGCCGCGCTTCTGATCCAAGGATGCGCGCAATTCTGTCGCGTGTAGGATTCAATGTTGCGCGACTCAACATGAAAAACGGGAGTAGTTGATTCGTGCCGTGCGTGCAGAGCGTGGGAGGAACAAGGCGACGCTGTCATGCCTTCGATGAGTCCCCCCTGGCAAGTGCAACGGGGAAATCGAATGTGGTTCGATGTTTTACACACGACGCATCGTGTTTCACATCATCGTCCGATGCATCCGTTCTGCTGCCGGCCAAGAAATTGCCGACGGGAAGATGCACGCGGTATTGGGCGCCTATCACAACTGCTGGATGCAGCGCGGCCCAGCGACGGCGACGCGTTCCGGCGGAGAAGGCGCCCTAAACGATGACGCCGCCAAATCCATCCTGAAGGCTAAAGGCGCCCAGTTTCGCATCCGCGCCCGCGGCCAGCACCCCGCTACTATCGAAGCGCGCAACGGTGTCCTGGGACACGCCCTACACGCAATGGAAGAATCTTTACAACGACTCAAGATTCAATTAGTTTTTGTTCACGCGTCCACGTCACGAAGCACGACGGCCTATCCGTCCGCAATACATTCACATTCTACAACGGGGTGCCGCTATATCAGGCACTGCATGGTCGGCAACCGGGGACCGGCCCGTCTACCTGACCTGCCGGCACTGGGCTACCAACAGGGGTCGGAGACGTCCGATCACAATCGGCAACAGAGGGTCAGAGAAATATGCATTGAAGCCATAACACAGGCCGCAGCAGTAGCCAAAATCAACAGAGCCCTACGCACCAGCAGGACACCGCAACGATCAGCCAGGTGATCTCGTGGGCTACCGCCGTCCGACCACTACTAAGGACGACTGGGGCGGATGGTTGCTCATGCCCCATCGCCCGCAATTGCCCTGACCGCGGGCCAGCTGCAGCGCAAGTTGGCGATCGGGAAGTCCTAGTGCAGCACCCGGACTTGCGGCGCGCGTTATTATGAGGTGTTAGTGGTCCGAAGGATCGGCTCTGATATTGCGGCCATGCGAACAGTGTTGGCCTTTATCGCGAGCCCGCCTGCATGGGGGGGCTGCCGTGATCTTCGGCCACCTGCCGACCAAGCAAGGAAACTCGCGGATGACTACAGCGAGCCGTTTCTCGCCTAAAGTACACTTAGCTATGCAGTTCTTCATCGTGAACTGCGTTAGATAAAATACGAAGTAAAACTACCCCTGGCTAAAAGCATCCACAGATTACCGGCGGCACTATTCGCTGATAGCTGCGCCCTGGCATGCGATGACAATGACGTCGCGCCAGGATTCTACTACAACGAATCCGAAGATACCGCTCTCAGTTTCCATGACATCACTGGAACCACGCATGCACGAATAAGCCAGTGCTTAAAGTCCTCGAAACCCTTCTTGCAGGCTTGATCGAAGATCTTTCACAGTTTGAGGACCTGGCGGGCACGTCAGCTTCGGGCGGCCACGCCCGAGAGGAGGAACAGCCTTCAGCGCCTGCCGCACTTGACGGCAGGCCACCTACCACCGCTGTGGAAGCATACATAAGCCTAGAAGCACACATCATGGACGCGCGGTATGTCGAGCTCCGAGAGGAGAAGGAACTGCTCGAGACATTATCCTGGGAGCCCTTGTGTTCTGCACCCGCCGAGACGGTTGCGGGCAGCTGCGCGCTCGCGGCGGCGGCCGATGAGGGGCAAGGACACTTGCGAGATGTAGGTGATGCTCGCAGCCATGATACCGACGAAACCATCTTGCACCATGGACCAGACATCGACGAGACGTATGATCTCGATTCGGACGCAACGACGCGAGTCGCTTCGAAACGACCCAGTGACCACGCGGCGCGCGAATGTCTCAGCCGCAGCTTAAAAACAATGGTCGCCAAACGAGACGGCCCCATGACGAGGGCAGATCCCCGGGCCAGATTGACTTAGATATCCAAGGCCTTGCATACAGAGCATAATATATGGCGTGGCAACAAATTCTGCATATTCAGTGAGCCAGAATTTTTACCAACATCACGACGCCCAGGCACGTGCACAAGTGGAGTTCTGTCAGGAGTGACAAAGGCGACATGGAACGAATCATGCGGTCACGCCTTGTCCTTTGTAGTTTTATGGACGTCGAAGCATTCGACGCCTAAGCCTCCTCGGGCACAGCTCGTCAAGCTTGTTGGAGACTGCTCGCCTGCGCGGCCGCGCGCAACAGACAATGGATCACGGTATCCATGGATGCGGAAAACGCTCCCTTGACAGGCCTGGCCAATCGCGAGCTGACTGAGGCCGCTGGGAGTAGAGAACGCAGGGTCTGCTTTACTTTTCCACCTAGCTCGGCCTCGACGTTGCGAACCATGCCCGGATTCTCGCCCCGCGGCGAATCAATGTTCTTTCTGAAGTGCTTGGAGCCAGGCACAGGCGCCAAATATGCTCCTAGGGCATTCTCATTGAAGCTCAGGGCCATAACGCGAGACTTCGGGGGACAACCCATTTGTTACGGCGAAGAATTCGAGGCGCGCCCAACCTTTCGAACAGCCAAGCACACGTTGATGACGTAAACCATGGCAGGAGTAGAGGACGCCATCGACAAATATGCCAAATCTGTAGAAAGTGCGTTCGGCGCACGCAGACAGAACGAACATTCCTATACCAGCTGCGCCGCGCGCCGCGCGAAGACAGCACGGCCGCGCCCAGCTATATCAGGATGGGCGCGTCAAACAGCTTCGCGCCATGCAGCGCCCAGAACTTACGGGCGCTGTAGCCGAGAAAAGGCAGCGAACACAGCATCCGAAATGTTCCTGGTCCACGTGGCATTCTTACAACGAGCACAGGGACCCACGGACCTCCAATTGCGCAGATTCAGCGCTGCCACGCACAAACTACTGCAAGGGCCCAAGCATATAGTCTATCGGCTTCTGATTCCTACAGGAGAAGTGGACCTCCACAGCGGCGCCGGACATCGTCGCCTTATCCGGGGCGAAGATGGCGAAGTACAGGGATATGGCATCCGAGGACTTTCTGCGCGGACACGCGCTTCGCCGCAAGGCAGTAGTGCATCTGATCGATGCGAGTTGCAAGTCGCATCGGCTGCAGGTGCGTTCCAGCTACTCAACTGAAACGCTGGCAGCAGCTCATGACTTTGAAGACTACTACCCTACCGCCGTTACGCCGCGCGAGCTTAAAGCTGGGCCCCTGGCGCCCGCGCAGCTTAAGGACATTGTCGATTTATGTGGTCTCAGCATTCAGGCCATCCTTACCATAGACGCTGAGACGGTCATTAAATCCTTGTCAAGTAGGACCTTGCGGACGCCGACTGAATATGCCCTGCTGGGACACATCATCTGGATAAGGCAGCTGATGTGCCGAGGTACCGCTCATGGCGCACAGTGGTGTGATGCACGAGACATGACCGCATATGGTCATGTTACACGGTGCATCCATCGGGCTTCGCTGCTGCAGGGTATCGAAGGCAACCGGTGCTTCAACCATGAGGTAAAGAAGTACATGATTTCTTGAGGCACCAACGAGACAGCGCCAATGTGAGGGCGCCTTATTCAAGGCTTGCTGCTAGGTATGCGGATGACTACGTAGCTACATACGCGTAGTCACCTATGCCCGGCCACGGGCAGCTATACCTACAGACTAAGTATTATCTTGGACACGAGTGCTTACCTTCTCCTGGGGTACCTGACTGCGTGGTCGGGTACCCTCGCGTTGCGCGCGCTTTGGCGGCTGGCAGTTTTATATTGCGGATGGTCACGCGGTCATGCCCGTGACCATCCATGATGATCTGTGGCCGCGCAAGCGGGTTTATCCTTGCTCGGCCCTCGTACTCTTGTGATGTTTTCTATCCGCCTGCGACTTTACTGTTGAGATGTTTTTTCACACAAAAAACTCCATACTTGTTTTCTGTGATTGATATAAGGAGCCCTAGGGCTTGGATCTAGCGTTCGGCCCCGCCCGCCCCGGCTTTAAACGAAGTTTAAGGTGGGGTTGTATAGCGAGCGCTATATCCGCCGCAGTAGTGGCCCAAGGTTGCGCAGCCCTATTTGCTAGTTGCACGACGGTGTGACTCTATCCGGTTCATTGTAGCAAACCAAGACCACGTCTTTCAATGACCCACATTTACCTCTCATGGCTGGTCCATTGTCTTTCATCTTGCTCGCCATCAAGCGATGAGTTGTGGGATGCCTCGACACGTCACCGACGTCATCGTACGAGTAGGGCTCTCAGCTTATTACCTCATGGTCAATCCTTCAACCTTCACTTTTCACTCAAGTCGTGCTCCGTTCCGTTGGGTCTCCGGTGGTGACAATTACGCAATCGCTGCCCGAGTGGATCCGCGGAGGTTCGGCTGGATGCGCGTACTCACCCACTCCGTCGAGCGTCCCAAGAGCCCCCAAGGTGGTGATCGTTGCGCAGTTCGCTTCCCCCCAGGGACTCGCGAGGTTTCGGCTCGATGCGCGTACTCTCCCATCCCGCTGGGCCTTTCGAGGAACCCATGAACGTGGCGAAAATTGCGCAGTTCGCAGCCCCCCATGGAGCTGCGAGGTCTCGTCTAGATGCGCGTGATCCCCCATCCCGCTGGGTTTCCGAGGAGCCCCATGACCGTGGCGACGATCGCGCGCTTCGTAGCCCCCTAGGGAACCGCGAGGTGGGTCACGAGCGTGCCCACATTTGTTGTTTTCGCCCCCCCCCCCCCCAGGGAGCCGCGAAAAAGATGAAGCGGAGGGTGGAAAACGAGGAAGAAGAGGAGAAGGAGGAGGAAGAGGAGGAAGAGGAGGAGGAGGAGGCAGGAACCAGAGGAACAGGATGCATTAAAGAGATAAGAAGAAAGGGTGGAGACCACAGTGCTCTATTCAAAACGAGAACCGAAAGAACCCAACGCAGGAGGGCTGGGAGGCATATGACTAATATGTTCTTCCGCGTCCCGTCGTGGGGCTCCGGGCAGGCGCTGGGGCTGGCGCGCGGCTGGGAGTTGGCGCCGTCCCCGCTCGGCGCTGTCCACGGCGTGCCCGAGGAGATCTTCCACGACGGACTGCAACTCTTCGCTGGGTTGCCGAGCCCCGCCACGATGGTGCGGTGTTCGGTAAGCACGAAATCGCATAAACAGAAACCTGCGGAAATCCGCGCTGATTTCTTGAATCGGCGCTGGGCCCCCCCATGGCTTGCGGAGCGCGCCATAGGCGGCGCCAGAGGCGCCGCCAGGGGGCTCCAGCGCCGATCCGAGAGATCCGCGCGGACCTCCGACATTTTATGTTTATGTCATTGTCTGTACCTCTAGGTACAACTCGCTCGTGCTGCGGCCGGCGCCGAACGCCGGGGCTCCGGCAACCGGAGACCGAGAACCGAAGAAGCTATACAGTCTCATAATCTCAAAGAGCCAGAAACAATTGCATACATACATTTTGGAGCTCCGCTCGGATCTCTCGAGAACTCCCCACCAGGAAATACGTTTCGGTTTCGGGGTCGTGTCGTGCGCGCGTGCGGGCGAGGCGAACGAAGTTGCGTGGGCGGGCGAGAGGAAACCCTCCTTTGGCGAGGACGCGGCGAGGACAATTTCGCCGCCCCCCCGCCGTGTGGCGGGTGGGTGCCAGGGGTGTCCCGTCGTGGTGTCCCTATGGTGTCCCGTGGTGTCCCGTGGTGTCCTGTGGTGTCCCGTGTTTTCTCGTGGTGTCCCGCGGTGTCTCGCGGTGTCCCGTGGTGTCCCGTGATGGTGTCCAGTGGTGTCCCATGGTGTTCCGCGGTGTCCCGCCGTGGGCTTTCGATGATGTCCCGTGGTGCCCCGTGGTGTCGCGTGATGTTCCGCGGTGTCCCTTGGTGTCCCGCGGTGTCCCGCGGTGTCCCGTGGTGTCCCGCGGTGTCCCGTGATGTCCCATGGGATCGATTGTGAGATCGAATTGTGAGATCGATCATTAGTGAGATTGATCATTAGTGAGATCGATGGTAGTAATGGTGAGAACGATAGGGGGATCAATAGTAAGATCGATAGTGGCATCAATAGTGTGATCGATTGTGATATCGATAGTGACATCGATAATAAGACCGATCATGAGAAAGGTAGTGAGATCGATAGTGAAATCGATGTCAGATCGATAGTGAGCTCGAAAATGGCATCACTAGTGATATCGATATTGATATTGATCGTGAGATCGATAGTGAGATCGACGGTGCGATCGGTAGTTAGATCGGTAGTGAGAGGGAGAGTGAGATCGACAGTGAGGTCGATCGTGATCTTGACATTGAGATCGACAGTGAGATCGATCGAGTGAGATCGATAGTGAAATTGATAGATCGATAGTGGGCTCGATAAAGAGATCAATAGTGAGATGGATCGCCGATAGTGAGGTCGATCGTGAGATCGATAGTGAGACCGATCGAGTGAGATCGATCGAGTGAGATCGATAGTGAAGTCGATAGAGAGATCGATAGTGAGATCGATTGAGTGAGACGTTGGTTCCCTCCCCATCCGAACCTCCTTATCACCAAAGGTTGGTCGTATAGGTATGTTTGTGCCCCTTGCTATCCCCTGTGTAATCATGGGCTGTCGGAGGTCGGGTGAGCGCGCCGGAGAGGGGGTGTGGGGAGGAGGCTCCAGCCTCGGCCCAATAAGTCTGCGCGGACCTCAGAGAGTTTATGATTACGCCTTTGTTGTCTTCTAGGAGATCGCTGGGAGGGAGACTCCGTCCTCCAGGTGACCGCCTGGGATAGCACCAGGACGCTGCCGATGGGCGTGCGGCACTCGTCGTTGCCCGTCTGCGGGGTCCAGTTCCACCCAGAGAGCGCCGGCAGCCACGGCGGCTCCGAGATCTTCAGGGCATTCTTGAGGATGTGAGTCCCCTGGGGGCGCAAGTTTGATTTTTCAGTTTCTGCGCCATGCTGTTTGGATGTTCTGATTTTCACGTGTGGGTGCTAGCAGATGTCTTGCTTGCCGTGTCTAGATCTGTGCGTGCTCGCTCTGCTTTGAGCTTCCTGTGTGCCCCTCTTCTGGTGCATTGCCGCATTCGGCATTTTGTGCCGCAGGGCCTCCCGAGCCGAACCGCTTGCAGTAGTTGCGAGGGCAGCGATCGCGGTGCAAACCGCGGCTGGAGCGGTAGCCGAGCCCCGTGCATGGAGCGGGTGCTCACGTCGATCCAAGCTTCTTGCATTCATTTTTGGGGTCTGGGCGCTGTATGCTTTGGTTCCCCAAACAGTGCTTGCACTTTGGGATTCTGACTTGTCTTAAGCATCTGGGGACCAGTCCCGGCTTTTCCGGGCGGTGCCGCCCGTCGCCGCCCCGTCGCCGCGTCGTCGCCGCCCGTCGCTTGGGCCCCAGTCCCAGCTTTCCCAGGCGGTGCCGCCCGTCACCGCCCCGTCGCCGCCTCGTCGCCGCCCTGTCGCCGCCAAGTCGCCGCCACATATATTCTCTGTTGTAAGAAGAGAATAGAGTCCACCACCCTCCCGAGGCCGGACTTATCACTACCCCCCGGTGATGTGCACTTTACATACGTTTCTGCCAGATCGTCCATCTTAATTATCAAGTCGCACCATCACCGGGGGGCCGGTGTCGGCCCCCCGCCATCATTTGCAACAAATTGTATGCGCGCGACTTTGTTTATCACAAGTGATCAGTTTTGAAGAATCCTTTGCCAACAAATTGACGAAGGGCACGCGCTTCGTCGCGCGCACATGCCGAAACCATCCAAATGCCATTGGTTTCGTAAGGATTTCATAATCCAGCGTCCAGGAAACATCTAAAAACACATGGTGTCGCAACCCGTATGTTCAACACGAACTTGCACGCGCTCTCTATTCGATTTTTCAGAAAACCAGTGTTTCTCATCATTTTCACTAGATGCTACCAAAAAGGCTTCGCGCGCGCGTACGCCCTTGCGCGCGTGCCGTCGCGACAATCTTTTCTGTAAAAAACTGGACAAGGTGCACGCGCGCGCGTCGTCGCGCGCCCATTCCGAAATCCGTTACAATCAAACCATCGGTTTCGAAACGATTTCAAAAACTGAATTTCCACAACACATGAGCACAATCGGTTCCGCAATCTCAATTTAATAAATGCGTGCGCTCGCGCCCATTCGAATCCTTCAGGAAACCATAGGTGCTTCAACGTTTTCGCTGAATTCTGCCGGACGGGCCTCTGGCGCCGCGTGCCGACATTTACGCGCGCCCTTGCGCTTGTGCTGGGGGTGGGCACGATCCGTGTTGAATAATTCAACCCGCGCGTCGGCCGCGTTCGCATGTCGATCTCTTTCCAAAACGTTCATCACCGACGCGAGGACGCCGTCATCGTCGTCGGCGTGATCATTATCGGCGCCCGCACTGGCCGCGCCGTCCTCGTTGTCAACATCGTCACCAGCAAGGCTACTATCATCATCGCGCCTACCGTTGCCAACGTTGCCATGCTACCGCGCCCGCCCAAGTCGCCGACTCGCAGTGAAGTGCCCGCTGATATGTGCCCAGCGGTCAGCGCCACCGCGGCCGCGTCGATCGCGCCAAATTAGCTGGCCGCTGCGCGCGCGTGCTTGGGTTGGCGCTGCCGCAAAGATGCACCAGTCAACGCCAAACACTCATCGCAATCGCCGCCGCTGGGTTTTGCAGACCAAGTTGCGGTTGGGTTGGTGGGGTGTTTGCAAGAGTGTGGTTATGTGCCGAGTCGTATGTAACATTCAATTGCATCACATAGTTTGCACCACGTCGGTTGCACAACATAAATTTGTTGTATTCAGACGACGCACCGCGTAAATTACGTCTCGTAGATTTTGCGCGTAGGTTGCACCGCGAATGCTGCACCGCATAGATTGCATCGCATGGAGCACACCGCATAAATTGCACCACGTAGATTGCACCGCAGAGGTTCCCCTCTCCTTTTAAACAAATATTATACCAACCCCGTTCGGGCGGACTTATCGATTCACTTTTACGCATTGCAATGTACATATGACTTTGCCCTATCGTCAATCTTGAATATGAGCTCGCACCAGTTCAGGTGGGGGGCGGCATCCGCCCCCCCCCCCCCCCCGGCATCATCTGCAACAAGAAACAGTATGTGCACGCACTCGTTGCACAAACTGTGACGAAGTGCGCACGCGCGCGTCGTCGCGCGCGCACGCCGGAACCATCCAACAACCTTCGCTTGCCTCAAGGATTTCAAAATCCAGCGTCCCGGAAACTCCTAAACACACATTGTTTCGCACCACGGATTTTCAACACATATCTGCGCGCGCGACCTTGCGAATCGTCAGGGAAAACCGTAGACTTCCCAACCTTTTCATACCATGCTACCAAAACGGCTTCGCGCGCGCGTGTCGAAACCGTTCGAACGCCCTTGCGCGCGTGTGGTCGCGAGAATATTTTGCAATAGACGTGGGACGAAGTGCGCACGTGCGCGTCGCCGTGCGCGCATTTCGGCATCCGTCGAAAACCTTCGCTGTCGCAGCGATGTCGAAACCGAGTGTCCAACAAACAACAGTGTTCAAAAGACTTGCAGTCCGCTCTTGCGAATTCTTCCGGAAACCATTGGTGTTTCGTTATGTGCATGGAATCTGCCAAACGGGCCTCTCGCGCCGCATGTCGAAATCATTCGCGCGCCCCTGGGTTTGTGTTGGGGGTGGCACGATCCGTGTGTAATACCATGCGTGCCACTCTCGCGCGTCGGCCGCGCGCGCATGTCGACCTCTTTCCAAAGCCTTCATCGCCGACGCGAGGACGCCGTCATCGTCGTCGGCGTGATCATCATCGGCGCCATTCGTGGCCGCGCTGTCCTCGTTGTCAACATCGTCAACAGCATCGCTACTATACTCATCGCGTCTACCATTGCCGACGTTGCAGTGATACCGCGCCCGCCCAAGTCGCCGACTCGCACTGAAGTGCCCGCTGGGATGCGCCTAGCGGTCAGCGCCACCGCGGCCGCGCCGGTCGCGCCAAACTAGTTGGCCGTTGTTGTCGCGTGCTCAGGTTGGCGCGGCCCCGGAGATGCACCAGCCAACGCCAAGCACTCATCGCAATCGCCGCCGCAGAGTGCACTTCACAAGTTGCACCGCGTAGATTGCATTACGTAGTTTTCAACGCAACCATTGCATCACATACGCTGCGCCGCGCAGAGTGCACGAGCCTACTGGTTGGGGCCCACGCTGGCCAACATTCGGTGCGTTGGCCTTTGGATGCATGCCGTGGCCCCCAGAGGTCATTCGGCATCTCCTCGCGGACAGACGACGGCGCCGAAGGTCTGTGACCGACCATGTCCGTCCGACCCATGCGAATTAAGGAACCACTCTCTGTTATAAACGACGTGTGGCCGAATAGCTGAGCATTCCCACCCTAAGTTAACAAGGTGCCAACGCTGAAAAGAAAGAGTGCGTGTTTCGTGTTGCATGACGCGTGTAATTGCGAATCACATCTACACCAACATACACACGACCAACACGAATTCGCGAGGAAGGTTCCGTGCCGACGGCGTCGCTTTCGTGTTTTTCTGATCGCCGCTGTTGCCTTCGCCTCGCCCTCATCATCCAAATGCCGAGCCCGCCGCCGCTCTCCCAGGCGGTTTGCCCCACGCGGGCGAGAGAGTGAAACAGAGAGAGAGAGAGACAGAGAGAGAGAGAGACAAAGACAGGGAAAGAGAGAGGTAACTATATATATATATAGTATGTACATATAAATGCATATATAAATATACATACATCGAACAACCCAGCGAACAAATAATGATACACCAAGACGCAACGATGTCTCGTAAACACTACATGACGCGAGCCAGAAACTCAATGCGGAACCTGCCCAACACATTGGCAACTTATGGTTTTGTGTTCATCGGGGCCTCTGTGCATGCGTGAAATCCTGTTGGCCATTCCCCCCCCGTTTTCGCCGCGGTCGGTAAATCACCCTCAGGCCCGGTTTTTCGGCGGCGTGCAAGACAATGCAATTTCGGCTTGCATCGAACAATTGCAGGGAGACGCCGCGCGACGGCGTCGTAGAGGAACACGAAGCGCTTGCCATGCTGCGCCAGCCCATCCCTTCTGAAAATTATACCCGTCCGCGAAGTTTCATAACAATCGCGGGTATGACTTCTTTTTTCGAGGATGGTTTTGCCTTCGTTCAACAGCTTGTGGCTCTCCTCCCACCCATCCCTCCAGTGCCTTACACGCGTCAGCCATGGCCCTCAGTTTCGGGGCGTTCCTGTGTTTCTTCTTTGCAGTCATGAGGAGCGTCAGCTTATGGGGCCTGTCGTCCGTGCCGTTTCTTTGATAGTTCGTTTTGATGGACGGCTGCATGATTACTGTTCAATCGTTCGGCCCTCAGTTCGCCGCCATAAGAACATCTGTCGTTTCGCTAGAACCACACGGTTGATCCGAAACAATACAACGCAATCTGTTGGCCCATGCAACGCAGCCAATCAGGAAAGGTCTCGCACGAAATGTGCCAACACAACAGCGACGGCGCATGTCCATTAGGCATGTCCCGAATGATTAAGTCACGTTTGGGCAACGCCGTGTTCCGCCAGGGAGCATCAGCGCGTGCGTCGGCCACCTGGCGGGGAGGCACCGCCGCGCGAACGCACGCCACCTGGCGGGGACGACGACCGCGACGACGACGACCGCGACGACCACGACGACCACGACGACCACGACGACGAATGGACGAGTTACGACGGACAACGAACGACGGACTCGGACGACGACGACCACGGACGACGACGACGGACGAC